AATCAAATGAGTACTTTATTCATTTACAATAAATTCATAATGTACATAATTCTGATTGAAGCTAAGGGCATACAACTGTCTAACAGATTGGATTGTTTGTTGTCTCTGATGAGCAAAGTTTGCAATAATAAACCATCCTCTCAATATCGAGTCAATTGGAACTCCTTTGAATTCCTGATCCAGTTAGCCACCCTTTAATCAATTCTATATTTCTATTACATCATCCACCTGTTGCACTGTATTGCCAAAGACCCTTCCATTTCTTTCACTTCAAATGCTCCACAAGGCAGATACTCTAAGGTGTCATAGCCTTCCATTCTGAATGGAAGTCTACACCATACAAAAGGTACAGAAAGGCAAATGAGAAGCACAGTAGGAAGGGGGAGGGGAACTAAGGACCAAATAACCTTCTGCTTTTATCAATAGGCCACATGACGATTATTCCTGTTATCATAATTAGCCAGACTTATGAGGAGGGTGTCAATCATTGTCTGAACCTGTTGGCGCAGTTGAGATGTGGTTTTGCAATTGTGTGTGACTTCAGATACTCATCCAACTGAAAAATCTTCTTTAGATCACTTAGCCAAGGTAAGAGCTTTCTGCCCTATCCCAACTGTTGAGAATTTCGTTGGATTAAATTTCCTCAATGAGTAAAGGTGAGGGCATACAGAAATGTAATGGAGGAAATAAAAGTATTAATGGGGAAAAGGGTTGTTGAAGTGGAATGGGTTTATAACTCAGCAAATGGACTGGCTGAATAGCCTGGGCTAAATGAAATTCTTAATGTAAAAGCATGGGCACTAAATGGAATTAAATTGACAAGGGTGGGAAATCTTGTTACCTTCACCGGGGATGCCGCTTCATTGTACATATTGATTCATTTTTTCATCTAATAAACTATACAGCTATCCATCAACAAAAAAGGGTAAGGGAGATCTTAGTTGACATTCAAACAATTGTTTGACAGAGTTGTACTTATTAAAGATTTTGTTGTTTCTTTCAAGAAGGTGCTTTTTGAAAGTGTATTTTTCCTTCTTGCCCTTGGATCTTGGCCAACTTCTATCAAGGTCATAGATATTGGTTAGAAGACCCATGCATGCCAAATAAGCTTTAAGAAGATTTCAGATGTTAGAACACATGGTGCAGTGGACAAGTAATTTTAAGCTTTTTTTTTTTCAATTCCTGTTGCTCATCATGTACACTTTGGGTAAATTTTGAAAACCTCTCTCTCTCTCTCTCAAGTTATCACAAAATTTTCTTTTGCACAGCCTTCCACACCAAAGTTTTGTCTTTGGAGAGAGGATCTTGAGAGTTTTAAAACAAAATGTGTGTAAATTATCTCATCGAAAATTACCATTTTTCAAAAGAAAATGGTAATTTTCTTCTTTTGAATGTTTTGAGGCTTCTATTGGCTTAACATGTCATGTTCACTTACATTTTGTTTATGGGAAATACAATACAAGTTAAAGTTTGATAATTGTATTAAATTTGCATTATAGAAAAGTGTTTTCTGATAAAAATAATAAAAAGAATATTTTTTTGATGAATAATAATAATAATAAAAAGAATATTCTGTTGCTAGTTTGTTGCAATGTAATATCTTTAGCTCCTACTTTTCTCTTTCCATCAAGAGCTACATAGGTTCCTTTGGGACCCCTTCTTAGTGTTCTCTGGAACATAAAAATAAATAATTCTCATTAAATTATCCTATAGTTTTCTTCTTCATCTCATTCTTTTTTTTTTTTGGTAAGTCCTTATCTCATTCTTGTCCATTATTTTCCATAGTATTGTTCTTTTCATGTTTCCTAGGGTGGTTCCTGGTGAGATTTCCTTGAAATTGCAAGGAAGATGGTCAAATATAACTATAACTATGTAATTTAGCTGGTTCTATTTTTCCTTGTGCTAGGCCTTAGGAATCTTTACAAAGATTATTACGGTGCCTGGGAAATATGAATGAGGTGATGAATGAGATTTCCTTCAAAGATCATAGCCGTAAATAAGTTGCATTAATCCATAGAGAGTGAATACCCTGGGTGGCAAGGATTAATCTCTAGGATTGATGGATGGTAAGAATGATTGTAGAGTTGTAGGATGGGCTTTCTTTAGAAGGATAATGAGCTAATGTTACCATAATAAAGACTGGACCTTGAACATGTGGAAGGTCCAAGTGTGGTTGGTTGTAACTATAGGAAAATGTCAAGAACAGAAAAGAAAAATCCTTTAACTTTTGTATATACATTATTTTATAATATGATAGATTATACTATTCTAAAAATTTTAAAATCACTAATGCTACAATGTAAAGTATCCATGCAGTATCTGGTTTCATAACAGATACTTATCATGTTCAACACTGGTGTTCTAGGCATGTACAAGTATCAATTATCATAGTTTATTCATAGTGTATTGATTTATTTTATCTCGGTTGTATATTTTGTAGGGTCCTTGTGTCCGTTCTACAATTACGATATATGTTTTGGCTCTATATGGATTGGTTGATGGCTTATTTTTTATTTGATGCATGCAAAGCTTATTCAGTGAGTTTTGGCTTGTGATTCCCGCAGATGCTAGACATGGTGGTCAGGGGCATGGGGGTTCCCATAGACATGGTAGAGGTATGCGTTCTTAGAAAGCTCTCTTGCTTGTTGACATATTTTTTAGTTTTCCATACTGCTATAGCCGCTCTTTATCTGATGCCTTAAGCTTGATGCTACTGGTGTTTAAAAATTGCTGATTTTTTCCCATGTATGTGATGCATATTGAACCGTTGATAAACAGATTACCATCGCAAGCGCTACCGGGAAGATGATCGCCATGCATCAGATGTCTCAAAAAGAAGTTCTGATCATGAATCCCGGCGAGCCTCTGATCATGAGTCCAGGCCGGTAATGTCTATGCAATCAATAGATTTGTTTGTGTACATAGGAACATTAAAACCTTCTAGATCTCAATCCAAAATTTGTTCTGATGTGCAGGAAAAGAACCCACGTTTTCGGGAGAGTGGGGATTCTGATGATGAGGATGAAGATGACCGAAAGAGAAGGCCTTAACTTCACTGTTGTAGTGTTGACACTGCCTTATTGGTCAACAACCATGAAGCATTGGTCGATCTTCGATGAAATCTACCTGTGAGGGTTAAATCCATGAAGCAAGAACCTGCATTTATCAAAGCATTGTTGCCCATCCAGTAATGTGAAGATAGGACTGAACAATTTTATCTTGCAATAGCTTTGATTCTTGGAAGCAGTAGATATCTTCATATCTAATATGTTTGTTATTACTCTTTACACCCAAAGGACTCAAATGCAAAGAGAATTTTTATTTATCCTGATTAGCATGTTTGTTACTTGACATGGCTTTCACGGTTTTACTTTCAAATACAGAGCTTTCCTTTGAATCATTTTTATTTATCCTAATAAAAGCCACATGACACATGGTGGCACTTACAACCGTGATCTGACTATCCCTCATGGAAGACCTAGATAGGGTGTAAGTATAACACGTAGATTTCTTTTTTTTTTTTCCGCTATAAGCGTATACACGTAGATTGTCTAGGAATTGAGGGCATCCCTTTGTTGAGGATAGAATTGAAGTTCAGAATTTCTATGCTATTGTTGTGGGTTACTAATACCGTAATACGTTTGTGTAAAATACAAGCATCATGAGAATTAAACCAATATCAAAGATTTACAATATCCCTCGAAGGAATCATCGAATCATCATTTAAACCTTATCCCAAGTTCCCAATTAAATGGGGCCGGTTACATGAATCCTGTTTTCCGTTCATTTTGTTTGATGCGGTAAGCTTCGAAGGAATACCAATAAATAAAGGGGAATGCCAATCCTACTGGTGAAATAGTAGGGCGAATCTCAGTGATGCTTGTCCATGATTCCATGTCGAGCGTTATGATTACAAAACCACCTTGATGTGAGATACAGCCTTAACGTGGGCGTCTGATTGGCATCCATCAATAAGTACAAGTGCTTTGTATTAAGAGCACTTTACGATGGATAAGGAGTGAAGGGGACTATTGTAGAAGTCATGTCAATGCTATAGGCCAAGTGCATCAGCATTGTTCCACATGAAGTACAATAATTAACTTGACGCCCCAATATTTTGACTTCAGAAATCAGATGCCACTCCATTGCCAGTGGAGTAGAGCGAATCTAACACCAAGATTCTTAAAAGAATACAAGCAATGTAGAATTTATAGTAAATTCAGCTTATCACTCTCTTAGAAACTCCATTCCAAATACAAATAAATCCTTTAAGCTGGTCCAGAATTTTGAAAAGTCCATGCTTTCACAGCTGTCAAATCTTCATATGGAAGATTCTCCATAGAACTGTTCGAAATAAGACAGATATATGGAGTTGTAGGAGAAGAGAAGAAACTGGGTGCACTTACCCAAGAACACATTTTCCTACAATGCCCTCTAGGACAATCTGGATGCAGGGTCAGGTTGATTTGGTACTAGAAATCTTTTTGAATTCTGGCCAAGTGAACCTAATCTAGTGGTGGTGGCAGAACAATTCCCATTTGAAAAATAAAATGATAAAAGTATAACTATATTGCGAAGATATGTGCTATCTTCAGAAGCATATGGGATGCAAGAAATGATCAATTATTTAACAAAATGAACCCAAACCCCATTCAAATATTGAGAAAGGCTGAAAGTTATTGTAATTACAAAGAATCGGGACTTAAATTCCTCAATCAGAAAAGGATTTACAACAAGTTTTATCCTTGGAATTTCCAATCTTTCTTGTTGATGGCTCATGGAACCCATTCACACAAACTGCATCTACTGGTTTGTATATGTTCACTCACAAGTCCATTAAGAACCATATTTGGCAAGATCCCCAGCAACAGTTGAACTCTGGACAATGATTAGAGGACTAAGGAAATTTTTTTGTATGGGTGTAAAGACAGGTTTTTTGTTTTTAGATGCTAAAGCAGTGTTAGCGAAGCTCAAAGTGACAGACAACCGGATACAATGGGACCAACAAGCTCTCTCTAACCATATTTTGAAACTTCTACCTCTTTTTTGTAATATTAAAATCATGTATGTAAACAGGGATTTGCCAGCCCATGAAATGGCAAGGAGAGCTAGGCATACGAACTCTTGTAAATTGCTATGCCAGCTCGATAAACCTCACCAATCTTTTTGAGAAACCATGTAAAGGGATCTAAATGTTCCCTTAACTTTCTGTAAAATGAATTCCAGTTTTTTAAAAAAAAAAAAAAAAAAAACCAAGATTCAATGTCGAAGGGTCAGATGGTTGAGTTGCATGTTGGTGGCGGATATATAGGTGAAATATAAGCATGTTAGGGTAGGAGCCTAGGACCAAGGTATTGAAGAAAAAAAAGGTTTTCACTTGACAATCTTTTGGACTGTTAAGTAGGTAGATCATAATGTTTCAGTGGACCCATGGTCCAAAATGGGTCCAGACCCAACTCTATGTGCTTTCGTATACAATAAGATTATACCGTTTAAACACTGATTTACTGGTCCATGAAATAGGAATCTTTTTTTCTCCCAGAAAAAAATGATAAAATTTTTTTACAAAACACCAATAGATATTAATTGAACTACCAAAATTGTTGCATAGAGGAAGCGTTTGCTTCATGGTTGCTGTGAATTTCTGAATCATGTTAAGATCTGAGAAGCCATTTCTCTGAGCAATCTGATGTAATGATCTGAGAAGTAGCATATTCCTCAAGGACACTGCCTGAATTCTTAGATGTGTACTGCCATTAAGATAGAAGAATCATCCGGTTCAATCTTAGATCACATAGATAAAACCATTCACTCAACCTCCTTGATGATTCTTCTTTTCCTCAATGGTTCTGTGGGCATGCTTCCTGGAGCACTGTGAGCTTTCTTCCTTTCCTCTTTCCTTCTCTCAGCTTCAGTCATTGTACGTCTTAGTGCTGTCGCCTTGTATATTGGTTTGGGCAAGTGTCTATGCCTGCAATGACAAGTATAGATGATACTTGAAAAACTTGTTGGAGAAAAAAAAACTTAGATGGAATAATAGTTAAGTACTTTACAGTTTACATATTTAACCCAGTGCAATTACCAAGTATAAATACTTGAAAAAAAAAAAAAAACTTGTTGAATAGCTCTGAATCTGCAACTTAGATGGAATTTAACCGACAAATGGCACAAGAATAGGGTGGGCTGGAGAAAAATTGTCTAATATGGTTGTACACATGTAAAGTGTACCATAGAAACCATTCACATAGCCTTTCCTTGGAGAACAGAAAAAAAATACAAATGGTCAAATCCAACTTCAGTAGGAAGTTTTCTCATTACCTTACAATGCGCTTGACCTCAGGGAGATGCTTGTAACGATTCTTGACAGCTTCAAGATACTCTTGCTTTTTGCGTTCTCTTGGAAGAAGCTACAGGATAAAAGATGAGCAATTCAAATGAGGATCTAATCAAATATAAGGTGATGAACTGCCAAGGTTGATTAGCCATGAATTGGAACCTACCAATATATCATTCCTTCAGAACGAATGAAGAAAAAAATGCATGCTTGGTAATGATCATAATTGAAACCTTTCAAAGATAGATTCTACAAGGTACCAGAAAACATGGGAGACATGCTTGGTACCTTGGATCCACCTATAAGCTCTCTCAAACTAAAAAGCTTTTCATCTGGTGGTAAAACCATGTGATCTATTATTTCTTTCTAAACAAAACTAGGGTCTGAAATAGGCCTATGCACATGGATTGGGTTCATCTTGACCCAAAAGTCCCAAGGGAAGATCCATCAAGGGAAGTGTTTGGATCTTCTACACATTCCAAAGAGCCTGTTTACTCTAACAAATAGCCTTCTGCCAACCTCCATTCTCTTTCATATAAAGTGGGGACCACATCATCTTGCTTTCTATTTTACTTCTTAATACAAACAAAGCAAAGTCAATTGTGAAACAAAAACAAAGGATTTGCACTCCTATGCATTTATACCAGTGCAAATTTACAAACAGAGACTAATTAACAGACTTTTCCATACATAGCATTTTCAATGATGGATGGACAATGCCAAAGGCAACAGAACATCTATAATTATCCAAGTGCCTACAAAGAATGCAGAAGCAAATAGATACTTACAACTCCCAACTGTTCTGATGCTTTAGCTTTCCATAGCCGAAGATTGGTGTCATCACTCCCCGAGATCACATAAGTGGCATCACAACTAAACTTTACACAGAATACCCTATATGGATGACCAGAACTCAATCAGAACTAAGGAATTTGTAGAAAACTCACATTGAAATATTTAATGGTGTAGAAATCATAACAGTTGGATCCCTGTCTTCTACTAACAGACACAATGTAAGGATAAAGATCACATATCCATGCATAAAGACTTGATAGAAGCAGAAAAACACTCAACCTCATGAAATAATCTAAGATTTGAGCAATACCTCTGCATCCTCTTAGTGTGATAAACTTCTCTGCTGTGGCCACCATTATATTGGAAGATTCTTACCTGGAACAATTAAAATTCAATATTCTAAGGTTTGGTTACCAGAGGATGAGTACAAATAACTTACTGGCTTATTATAAGACCCAAGTAAAAATAAAGAATAAACAGGACAATAACCAGCCATGAACGAGAACTTACTGTCCTATCATATGATCCAGTTACAAATTCTCGACCGGTTGGAGAGAAATCAATATCCATCCTGGAGGGAAAAGGGGGAAAAACAAGAAACAAGGGTTATGGAGATCTCTTTTTTTATAAGCATTTTATGGAGATCATTCCCTAAATGCATTATAGAAAAAAAGACAAGACTGACACTCACACTGCAGAAACATGATCTCTGTGGACACACTTGGCTTCATCCAGTTTTCTTGCATCATAGCTATAGCAGTTGCAATCTTCGTTTGCCTGCATCATTACAATATTAATAGTAAGAACTCATCCTTAGAAATAGACAAAATCCAATGTAACACATCTGCCTCTGTGTACCACCCTAACCCTCTGTATTGGCATGATAACCATCGGTACCAATTAAACTTATTACTAATACCAAGCATACCCTAGTTGGATTGCTGTCCATAATGCATTGGATGTGGCGTAATGCTTTACATAGGATATAATTATATAGATATGGGGTGCAATGGATAATACATATAGTATTACCGAGTAATAACTATAAAAGTCTAGATAAGAAGTTCAAGTTTTGATTGGGCTGGTTCCTGGATCTCATCTCAAGGAAGAATTGTTCACTGATAGATCTCATCCCTGTATGAATGTCTAGAACTAACTACAAGTACATATTATAAATCTACTTCAAACCTTTATGTAATCATCTACTAAGTCTACTAAGCATTCATGTTGTGTGTGGGGGTGGGGGGCATTTAGGCTTGATGTCATAACATGCAAGAGCTTTCCCAAGGTGTGCCTCCATATGATCACAAACTAATTAATTCTTCTTACAATTTTCAATATATAATACTTAAATCTATCTAAATCTTCAGTATGTTTAAACTTATAACTCAAAAGAAAATTCTTGAGAAAAACTAAAACAAAAAACTATCTATTTTAATATGAGATAAGCTTTTGTGGATGTACTCACAGCTGTGAAATTCATTGGCTCCATTGGGTTCCAAGATATAGAATTAGTTTTAGTCTGCGACAGAGCAAATAGGTGTGAGAAAGGTTCAAAATAACCATAGAATCAAGGTTCAAAATTTCGTGACATATCTTTTTTTATCGATAACATCAAACTTTTAATAGAAACAAGCTAAAATACAGAGCAGAAATTACAAGGTGTAAATGGCAAAAGACACTGAGAGACAAAAAATCCCCACACCCAAAATTTCGTGACGTATCGCCAGTACGTAATGTATCATTGGGTTACCAATACACCAAATATGCATCTTTTGGGAGTTGGACCTATTTCAGGGTGTATGCAGGCCTAAGACCTATCCCTCTGCCCTATTTTTGGAGGGAAAAAAAAGAGTATTGTACAAAGTACCGATACACCCCTTCTGCCGTATCAGGGTGTATCGATATTTTGAACCTTGAATAGAATAGTATCAAATAAAAAGAGCTATAGAAAGAACCATTAAGAAAATGAGTAACATACAGCTATACTGGAAACAACCTCTGTTAAACTTAAACAGCAATGGCAAGCTCATTATATAGCCTATTTCCAATTTTCCACCATAAAACAAACTATTTTAAGAACATTTGATATAAGGGATCCAGATAATTCCTACCCATGGGGCCATTGCTTGTAGTGATAAAATCTTGAGCTGACACCCTAGATAGCTGGGACTAACATTGGGTAATGGCCCTTTTTTGATAATTCCTACTCATTTTTTTGAAGCCAGATAATTCCTATTCATGCATTCTCTGAAATTAGCTCATGTGCACAATTTTATATTAGTAAGGTAACCATATATTTTAAAATATTTACAACCCTTATCCACATCTATCTTACCCTAGTACATTTAGCAACATTGACAGTCTTAAATAGAAATGAAAATGTCAATGCCTGAAAAATATCTAACAGGACAAGCTTAAAATGTAAATTTCTAGTGATAATTTGGATGTAATACCTTCATGATAAGCTTCCTTGCTGGGGATGACATGCGTAGGTCATATAGTGTTATGCTGCGGTCACTACAAAACAATAGATAACATTGATTATAAAACTACCCAAGTATGAGCCACAACATAAATTAAATCACAGCAAAGTAAAAGGGTTCAATGGGATACATAATGGAGCAAGGTTTTTATCAGAAAATTGGAATCAATATGATCAATAATTCAATACACGTGCAACAATTGCAAAATATATACTCTCCCATTTTTGCATGTGCAAAACATATGTTTCATATTATTTTTAAATTTGTTATCATATTTCTTTTCTTAGTGTGATTTTCAAATTCAGGTATTTGGTTGTATTCTATGGGCAACTTCACATGTAATTTCTTTCACAGATATGAGGTCACCAATCCTTCTAAATGTCAAGGCATTCTCATGGACGCAGTCAACCATGAGAGTAAAGTTTTCTGGTATATTGCAGGGGATAAGAACCTTACACACCTCTCACCTCCTATTTGTACAATGCACAAAAGGAAATGGAAAATCATCCATTGCCTATTTAATTTTTCCATCTATCGGAAGATGGATTCACAATATGCCACCACTTCTAAATGTCAGACTCAGACTGGATGGTTGGACTGCTAGACTTGGGAAACCAGTGAGCCTTCTGAATTTTACAATGCCACTTTTTCTGTTCTTTTTCCAAAAAAAAAAATTGTTTGACCTGCTATTAACCCAGACAAACAGTTGAAAACCATCCAGGTTTTTACAACCAAACTGGTTTTTAACGCTTTTGAACACCCCAAGATCATGCCTTATCACAAGTCACAAAACAATAGTGAAGAGAATTGAACCTATGACCTCTCATTTACATACAATAACATGTTACCATTAAGTTATGACACCATTTATGTTTATTCAATATCTATATTTATGGAACATGTATATGTATTTTTGAAAAAAAAACATAATTTGTAAAATTAACTCTTTGGGGGAAGGAATATTTAAAGTTGAAACTTTCCTTTTTCTCCAAAATATGTATAAAATTCAGAATACTATTGCTTGAGCCTTCAAGTCATAAGAATAAATACCTAGCTGATGTTGCTAAAACATTTGGTTCTCCAGGATTAAATCGGACCGATACAACTGTGTCATGACCCCATTCAAAGCTGTTTACTGGAGCTGACCTGTTAGAATAAGTATGTTATGACATGCAAAATGGATAATTCTGTAATCAAGAACAGGGTAAATTAAGTTAAAACTAAAACCTGTTGCGATCCCATATATCAACTTGGGCACCAGCTGTAGCAAAGAGATCACCATCCCATTGGTGATCCACAGCCCTGGAAAAATACAAAGTAGATATAATAAACTGAAAAGAAAACAAAAAGAAGAAGAAAGAAACCTAAAAACTAAACCTAATTCAATACAATTCCATATCCAGATGGTATTGTGAAATAAAGTCCTCTAAGTAACAGTTTTACCAAAAGCCTTGAAATAATTACCAGAAAGCATTCTTCCAAACGTACACTGCCAATGGCTGAAAGCATGAAATATGCAAACCATCAAGGTAGAAAAGAAATAGAGGATGTATGGGTTCTAATACTTTATGATAGATTGAGTACTGACCTTGGCAGAATTATCTGACAAATCATCTGACTCCATTATACTTGCAACAGGGACATTCCAGAGCCTGACACTGAATACAACAAAAAAGAAATTACTGTTGCTAAGTATCCAATATCCTTCATATAATTTCCTCTCTGAAGGCATGTAATAATTTAGACTGAAGCTATTCTTACGTGCAATCTGTTCCGCATGATATCAAGATGCGCCCATCGGTAGATGCTGTTAAACCTCGTACAGCGCCTTGGTGGCCAGGAAACTGACAAACTGTTTGTCTATTATTTTATTTATTTTTTTCACATTTTGGAATAAGAATAAAAATGAGTCACCATTATGATCCAATCAAACCACCTATAACTAAAGCAGGGAGAAAAGGAACCATGCTCTACATCATAGCATACAGTGCATCTCCACCATATATGTTGAATGAAGAAACAAGAAGGAATAAGCTCTAGATGTATTTCTACTTTCATAGATGATAATTCAATTCAGAAATAAACATTACCTGGAGGCTATGTCCCACAGACGAATATCTGCCAAAGGAATGGAAAACATCCAAATAGTATTAGAAACACCAAGAATTAAAGTGCGGAATCCCTCTTAGAAAAAGAAAAGAAAAGAAAAACAAACCAAAATGACAAGCAAAATAAAAAGGAATAACTCCCAATGCTACAATTCATGCTACAATTTGATTATGAATTAGTCAGGGTCAGCACATCTAAATAGAATAAACTTGGTATTATCAAATGCCTTCTTTGCTGAAAAGATAACTGTTTTGATCACCCATCTGGTGGAAGAGAACCAGACATTAAATTAAAAGATACTTGCAGGTGGCACTTGAAAATAGTTATTCATTAGTTGAATTATGAAAAATGAAGTTTGAAGCCATCGTTAAGTCTCCAAGGGCGTCTGAGTCTGATTTTAAACTGATCAAACCGGAAAATCTGAGCCATCAAGGAATCAACAACTCTAAACTTTAACACCCAGTAATGCTATGATGGTGAATACTTGGTTTGTATTCACTTCATTCAGTCCACTAGCCATCTTTCATTCAATTTCCACCACAATTATCACAGTAAAGAGTAAATCCAGATTTCTGAGCATTTTCATGGAAAATTGTGGTTGATGATAAAAATTCATCACCGACACCGTATAACCTAATGACCATATGATTGGTTTACATAATTATTTGAGTAAAAAAAGAGAAACAGGACTTACTTTTATCGGAAAAGAAAATGAAGTGAAGAAGCATTAGTAATAGAGTAAGAAAGTGAAGTACCTCCATCCATAGAACCTGAAAATATTCCTTTTAAGTGATTCGGGTTCTTCGCCATACATGAGACAGCATCAATATGCCCATCCATTGCACCCATAAAAGGCCTTGCGAATATCTGGCAACAGGCAATTTTAAATTTTCAAGGCTTTCCAACATAAAAAATTCAAAAGGAAAAGACCAAAAAAGGGTGTGAAGTTTATCACCTTCTCCACCTTTGCGGCATTAAGAGCACGAACGTATTCAGTGGCCTTTTCTTGAGTCCGAAGGCTAGGGTCGAAGTTTCGAAAAACCCTCTATTCAATTATGAAAGGAGAAGTATAAATAATCTCAATTGAGAAAAAGAGAACGAATTCTTCCACATACATAAAATTTTCTAAAGAAGAAGAAGAAGAAACCTGGAGATCTTGACTGCGTTCGCGTGTAAATTCATCTTCGGAGCGCGATATGACTTTAACCTTCATTTTTCGAAGCGAAAGGTTTCTAAACCAGTTCGAGCACAATCTGCAGAACCCAAAGAGGAGGAGGAAAGGTGTTCAGTTGCGGAAGACAGAAGTGTTTAAACCTTCTTAAACCCTAGAGAGAGAAGGGCTGAAGGCTGAAGGCTGAAGGAGGTGTCCAATCTAAGATCGGCTTCAGTCAGTGCAAGACCCGTTCGAATAGCCTCTACAGCCTTGCATCGGGAACATCTCCATACTTCTGTTTGAATGGGTTTGCACTGACTGAATCCGATTTCGTCCAATCCATAGCACGTAATGGAGCGGATCAGATCCGACCACTGTTCCAACTTCAAAAAATGATCCATCGACGAACGGGTCTCACACTCCAGTTTGCCGGTGTGAGTCTATAGACCCGTTTTTTCTCCCTTTCAAATGTGACTCGCCGCTCGCCGAATGAGTTGAGATCTTCTGTTAATAAAACACGTTTCAACAACCCCTTAATGCATCGTGGGTATACCTTTCGAACAGTTGATCCAATTCGCGAATGCGACCCGATACAATAAAAGAACCAGAATTATGGTCTCATATCTAACCACCTTAATTTGAGAATGGCCGAACCCGACCCAATCCCCCAAAAAACTGTGTTGGGTCGGGTTGGGTCATGGGTCAACCCACTAACCCAATTATCGAGTGTAATTCAGACTTTTTATGTATTGTTAGAAGTTTTCATTGGTTAATCTTTTCTATTTAGTTTTTATTATTTATCGTTTACTTTTTAAAATTTTAACTTTTTTTATTTTATGCTTGGAGGTTAATTCCTTTAATTTTAGCATTTTTCATGTATTTTTTCTTTATTTTTTAAACTCTAGTTATTTTTAGGAATGACCTGAATTGACTCATGGGTCAATCCTAACCCGAACATGGGTTAGGGTCTAGCATTTGCTGAGCCAACCCGACCCAAAATTAGCTTAAAGTGTCTTAACCCAACCTGAACCCAACCCAATTGCCAAGTCTACTCATTGGTAGGGTGTTAAGATAAAATATGACAATTTTTACACTACCCGGTGGGTACCCATCCCATCAAGGCGGGGTTTTTGCTTGAAGAATGGATTTTTGGGCAGAAACGGGTTTAGGGATTCTACAATCCATATGGGTACATGTAAGGTACCAAATTAGGCTAAATCCGACCCTCACAACCCATATATTGATAGTTTATGTGCTTTTTTACATGTCTTAATCAAATAATTGAAAATCTTGATGTTTGTTCATGCTATTTTACTTATATATCTATACTATATATAAAAGTGTGAATGCAATGTATAACTATTTTTGGAGTGAAATTACCCTTTACTTTATTTTAGAAAGGGTATAAAAGTCATTTTATTATAGCTTTTATAGCTACTAAAATGCCCATAATTGTGTATTTAGTCCATCTCTAATGGTAAGGTTGAAAATGTAATTTCAATTATTACTTCCCACCTCATTTAATCCCCTCTCATCAATGTTATACTTAAATTATTAACTCTCATTTTCTCTTATTAAATTAGATTTGAATCAATATTTTTAACAATATAAACCCATATATTTTAAAACTGACTCAAAAACAAAACCATTTTGAAGCAAAGTGGTGGTTAAGCAATTCAACCATCTGAATCAAATTGATCAACCTACGAAGTCAGAGTTAGGTAATAAAATTTTTAAAATAGAAATTTACAAAAATGTAGAAAAAATTAGACACATTTATGATACTAGGGTGTTGGTGGCCTAACAGTCTCGATAGGTTTTCTCATATAACAGATATAATTTTCTCTTCTCAATGAGGTCTCACCATTTTGGTGTGACCTTGTGTTCTAACTTTTGGTAACCTACATCCCTTTATTTTCTTGGGATTCTATTGTAACAAACACTAGAAAAGTGGAATATTCCACCAATATTTTGTCTTTCCTTTCCTTTCTCACAAACCAAACGAACCATAAGGGGGTGGTCTGTAGTGTGGATGAGAAATTAGGTGGTGTATTCTCATTCACACCACACCATGCCACAAAATGATAGTTGTTCTACATTATGGACAAAAATGAACGGATTGAACCACACCAAACCCTCATAATCATTCTACAAGGTGTGATGTATTTCAGTCCACACTATGTTTTGATTCCATGCATTTAACCTACAATGTGTGAGATGATCTATGAAACAATATTCTATTTTTAAGTAATATACATTATAAATAAAATAATACAATTTAACTGTCAAAATACAAATTAATGCATTTATATATAATATGAATAATTAATACGATTAGTGAAAACTATTTGTTAAAAAAATCAATAATAAATCACAAAAAATTAATAAAAATTATAAAAAAATCAATAATATATTAGCATTAGTAAATTGCCAAGAATAATATTTTTTGTCAAATAAAATAATTTTATAAAAAATGATAATTTTTATACAAGTTGTATAAATTATTAAAATGAAAAGTCCACTATTTTAGAATCATCAATTTTGGAATTATTGAATTTGGATAAAATGCATTACATGTGCAAAGCAGGGAATCATCAATTTTGAAATTATTCATTATGGTTGAAAAGTTACACGAGATTTAACCATAGACAAGATTCTAAGATATGGTTTGGACCGTTCCATGATATAGTGTGATTCAGTTCACACCATGATGCAATCGAAAAGGTTGAGAGGAGGTGTGGCACATTTCAAAACTGAATATATGAATCGACATTTCTTATATGCCACCATTGGATTGCATTTGTAGGTAGAGAAGAGGAACAATAAAAAAAGAGAATCTAAACATGAGCATTTTGAGTTCACATCTCCGCCCCACAACGCCCTACAACACATTCCCACCGTGTATTGGGATCATCTCCCGATGATGACATCATCGGGAGATGTTCCCAATACACAACGGGGATGTGCTGTGGGGCGGAGATGTGAACTCGAACATTTTAATAATAATCACCCTCATTACAACGATAGTTTGGACTTAAGTGTATATTTTTGAAAACTAGTAGAATGGCCCATGCGATGCATGGGGAATTTAAACCCGTGAATGATTAATCATAACCAGGTATAGAACTTACTAAGTTGGGTGTGGTCACTTAGGTTGATTCTTGATTGGCTATGTTAGCATCAATTTGTTTGATTATTGAAGCTTTGACCCAAAATGAAACTAAACTTCAATTTCTTTAATCCTAATCATGGTTTTCAAAACCGGACCGGACCGGATGGTCAGGATGACCGGTTCCATTTTCCCCCCAAAACTATTGATTTTGGTCAATGAACCGCTGAACTAGGTGGTTAACCATTCAAACCCGATAACCGGACCCCTGACCGGTTTTCCGGGTTGGTTTTAAAAACCATGATCCTAATTGATCAGGACTGATATGGTTAAGAAAACAGAATTAAATTAAAACATGATTAATGATTCCACTTAATATATAATGTAAATGTGAATATATAATAGTATGCAAAAAGTGTAAACAAGTACCGTAATTGATGCATCTATATTTAGTTTGTGACTGTACTTGTATATGCACAAGGAGGCAAATAAATTAATGAAAGGTTAAGAAACTACCACGTGCAAGTAATTCCAATAAGAGCAATCCCTCCACAATAACTTGTATGAACCATGTGAATGTTCAACTTGTATCTAGGAAAGAAAATGAAAAACAAGACAATTGTGTGATATGTTTCCTTTATATTAAGGAAAGCAAAAATAGTAAACAAAAGAAAATAAAAGAAAAAGAAACTTCAATGTATTTTTATGGATCAAACAAAATGTTGAATGGAATTAAAAAGAAACTTCAATGTATTTGTATTGAAAAATTTGTGTTGCCACCATTCTAGAGCAAAGAGTTAAAGAGCCTAAATCATATAAATTGTGTTCAATATGCAGAAACCAGATGACCCACTGTCAGATGGGGACAAAAACATGAAAGAGATGAGTCCAAAATTTTCAATAATTAAAGGTTAATATCAACATTGCAAAAAGGGAATAGTTGCTAATGAGATTCATCATTAAAGTTATAAGTGCCCTCTATAGATTGACATATCTGCTCTATCTATAGGATTTATTTTCAATACATGTTTGTATAGGCTTAATCTAATAGATAATATATCTAAAGGGGAAAAGAAAAGAAATTGAGGAATGACCAACATTAGATAACATTACCAGGACTCAATTAAGTTAAGAAAATCTCAAGATATGGACAGTTCTGAGCTTAAGTTTAATTCAAAATTCAGTTTTCATGATAATTTTCCCCTTAGCGCAATAAGTTCGATTATCTTCGAAATCAAAGAAAATAAACACCTGGAGTTCCATACATGACAACTGTCAATGCCGAAACACGCTCTGCTATCTTTCTATTGTTTTCTTTTTAGGACCAAAATCATTCGTGAATGCATAAGAGAAACTTTCTGTTTTCGAACGCCAATTAGAGGGAGTTAATAGGACAACTGGTATTTACATCGTTGCAGGGGTGAGAAGGGGAGAAACATACGAATGGAAGAAATGAGGTTGTTCGCCTAAAATCTAGTTGTCCCCTTCGCTTTAGTCATTTTATTAGAGGATAGGATTGGAAATAAGAAATCAGGGAGGGTAGGATTTGAACTATAAAATAAGGGTATTTGGACGATGGACAATTCATTCGCTTCAGTCATTTTAAGAGGGGAGCGGGGATAGAGTTGGAGTTAAAAAATCAGGGAGGAGTAGGATTTGGACGATGGACGATTCATTCACTTTAGTCATTTTAAGAGGGGAGGGAGATAGAATTGGAATTAAAAAATCAGGGAGGGATAAGATTTGAACTATAAAATCAGGGTATTTGGATGATGGACGATTCACCCATTTCTCTTTTTTATAAATGGGTAAGATTTTTATTAATTACATTAAAAAAATAAGTATAATAAACAATAATTATTTTTATTGTTAATAAAAATGAAATACATAATTTAGAATTCACCAAAAATAAAATTATTTTGTTGTTTGGCATAAAAGTGTGAATGAAATGTGAAACTTTTTTTTGGAGTAAAATTACCCTATACTTCTTTGTTTGAGAAAGGGTATAAAAGTAATTTTATTACAATTTTATTGTCAACTTTAATGACTACTAAAATGCCCATAATTGTGTATTCAGTCCATTGCTA